GGGTCTTCAATAATGAACGAATCATTCATACCCTACAACAAGGTCAAGACGACCCCTAGCGTCGACTTAAGCGGTACTTAAAATATTGTACTGTGAATAAATTTAAAGTCACAAAAATATAACACCTAAGTCTAAACACAATACAAGACCAGAACAGACAGATCCGACATTAATCAGCCGGTATACATATTAAAACTGCACAAAAATATAGCAATGAGGTCTAAGAACCGTGAGTTTTCCTGAGTCTACTCTGAGTGTACCCTTTTATCACAGTTAGGAACTACATCAAGTTGTAATTGAAATGTGTTATAAAACTGAATTCATATAGTTATATCAATGATAATCAGTCCCCTCTTAACTTAATTTGAAAAAAAACATAATTGACGGGTATAATACGTTTTTCCGGAAGCATAAAAACTAAGTCTTACACTAAATCTATATATTTTGCTTTGAGACCAGAATATTGTCGAAAAAATGATTAAAACAAAACTTGCGTTTCAGATTAAGAAAGGGTCCGGGAAATGCTCAGAATGCACGATTTTGCGTCATTTTTACCAGAGCTTCAGCTTCTCGGGGCCTTGGGCGGCCCCCAGACACCTCGGCGAATATATTTTGCCTCACTTTTAAAAGAGGCTAATTACGGCCCTGATATCAGTCTTCTGGCACCTTTTCCCAATCCAAAAACATATCTGATAGGTACGTGCTATTTGAAATTTTTTTCTGAATTTAAAATAATGAGAGGTGTTATGATTGCCATTGAGACAATAATCCAACAGAGAAAAAAAACACATAGGACGCTTTACGACCTTCAACAATGAGCAAAACCGATGTCCTGTAAAAATTGTCCCTGCACGACAAACTGTGACACAATTCAAAAGAGAAAACCAACGGCAATATTTTTTCTCATTAACTAACAAACGAAAAACAAATACAGTAGACAGCAACCAACGACAACCACTGAATTACAGGCTCCTGATTTGGGACAGATGGTATGGCATGCTTTAACATACATATGTATGTTAGTGTTAAATCCTCCCCTTACTGGTGACAAATGTTTAACAGCACAACATAAAAACAAACTCATCAAATCACTGTTTCACAGCTTGACACAGAATATGAAATTATCTTATGTAAATTAAAACTGGCCAGACAGAAAACTATGCCTGTATTGTCGTTTTACATGCCACAGACAGTAATGAACCTGACCATTTGGAATACAAACTTGAGCAGCATCCACCAAACAGCAAGTATTAAAAACTACTTCATTGTTTTAGCTGAAGTTTCACACAACATGTTGGAATACATTAAAAGATTCGGAGAAATACAAGACTGTTGAAGAACCAACAAGGCATCCAAAGACGCTAGATTTGCTAATAGTGCTAATAGCAAATCTTCATAATAGTTGAACAACTTCCAGTGGTATCAAAACACGACATCGTTTTAGTCGAAATTAGTTGTATTCCTTGGTATATTCCTTCAAGAAAACTGCAAGCAGCAAGAGAAAAGTTAGACAGATACCTGGCATTGTCAGTTATTTTCGACTTATTAAGCGACGGATCCAGCCATTTTTAAAAGGGGGTTCCAACCCAGGACAAGGGAGGGGGGATTTCCAACCATTTATGTCCCCATTCAAGAGTCAAAAGCATTGATCGTCAAAAAAATGGGGGTTCCAACCCCCGGAAACCCCCCCTCCTCCCCCCCCCCCCCCTGGATCCGCCACTGTATGTAATTACTATGAGTTTGAATTTCTCTTTGCATGCTTTGGTATCTTTGGCCTCTGTTTTACGCATATCGGTTTTAAATTTCCCGCAAAGTTACTTTCTTTATCAACAATCAGCCAATGAAAGCTGATGTTACAATCAGACTAAAGTGACAAGGAACTTATAAATAAACATTGAAGAAAATGAAGTATAACTTTTAAGTGCGATAAGTATCAATTTCCTTATAATGTTAGCAGGAAACAGAGGACAAGATGGGTTTTATGAGTCAAACAGCGGAGGTTTCTCCTCGGATGTACTGCCTAAAACAAAGCCAAAACGCAACCAAAACACTCGGAGAGCTATCAAAGACACGCGAACGTCAGAGAAAGCACTCCAAGGAATGGGAAATAATGCAGGCAAATTATCAGAGATAAATTTTGATTCCAATTGTGATGACAATTCCGTAAAATGTTCTGTGAATGTTAAGAGAGGAAAAGAAATAAATTCAAACAGTCAGGTATGATTATGATGAGCATAACCCTCCCCTTTCCTTTCATACCCCCCTTTCATGTGCATGTTATATTTACTAATACTATTATCTTGAGTTCACTAAATCATGTGATGTCAAGTAGTTAACTAGTTTCCCCTAGTCTCAGTGTTTAAGACCATAGATGTAGCCTTGCAAGACATCATGATTATTTAGACAAGTCATGTTAGTGTAGGGCTGGACTAGTACAGATGTGGATCAAGGATTTTGAAAAAGGGGCCCACGCTCCCCCAAACTAGACAATTTTTAAAGTTTGGAGTGGAACAAGTAAAAAGTGAATCCGGGTCCATTCGCCCAAAATCACTTTCGCTCATATTCACGTTCGCCCCCTTTCATGTTCCTACATGTACCATGGGTCCATTCGCACCCTTTTTATAGGTTTTGTGTTGAATACATTTTTAATCGTGTTTAAATAAATGTATCGCTATAAATAAGTATTTTGTATTGTTTCCTCAAAAAATAATTTCATAAATTCCCGATTTTTTTTAATGAAAATTTAAATAGTTTGATAAATACATCTAAAAAACATCTAATGATTCAACCAGTATTTGAATAAAAATAGGGTGCAAACAACCCAGGGTGCGAACGTGTGGGGTGCGAACATGTAGGGTGCGAACATGTATTGGGAGCGAACAGACCTGATACAGTAAAAAAGTCTGGATGAATCATAAATGTAGCTCCATAAGGGGGACACCCCCCTTAAAATCCGTCTCTGTAGTGTAGGACTGAACTAATTTATAGGTACAGTCAGTTGTAACTAAGCTGTTTGACAGGTTGAGAACATCTGACCATATCATTTATTATATAACCTATTTGGGGTATACTTGCATATGAATTTACCATGCAAAAAATTGTAATTGTGCAGTTGAGTGAAGATATTTGAGGGCCAGGGAATGGGGTTTCCCATGACGTTTTAGGGTTAACATTTTGTTCTCTGTTTGATACCAACATCAACGATCAAGTTAAAATATGCTATGTGGTGAATGTTGATAACATTTTAAAGTTCCTTTGATTCTATGGTAGGGGAGGGGTAGTTCTTGACGCTTGATGATTAAGGCCATTCCTACCTTAAGGCCTTATAATTGAAAGTGTGTTTATTTGTTGAGATAAAAAAAAACTTTGGGAAGCAATTTAGACAATTACAATGTATATAGCTATATATACATAATATAGTATATGCAAGCCTGATGAAATTTTTTATTTTCAGTCCGATCAAAACAATAATTGATTATGAATAACTTATAATTGTTCATTTAATTCATTGTTGTATAAATATGCATGTATATACATGTACATGTATGCAATTTCAAACCATTTTCCAAAGTCCAAATTTGAAATATTCTGCACCGTATATATATTTTCCTTTTAGTTTTTTAAGCTGTAAGGCTTAGGACTACAAATTAGATGTACATGATGTATGAAGCAGAATACATATATACCTTTCTGAGATAAATTTAGAGAGAACTAAGTAAATATATAGTGTGTAATGTGACAGTTATGCCTATAGGTTTATGTTTCATAGTGAAAAAAGAAATGAATGAAAATATAAATCATGAAGTACAGAGTACAAATGAATACATATAAAATAATGAAATGTGATATGATTGCCAATGAGACAAATTTCTTTCAGAGTTCAAATGATGTACAGTTGATTCATTTTTTTATTTATGTGATACCAATTTTCGTGGATTTTGTGGGTACAGGTGAACCACAAATATAAATGTTCAACGAAGAACAAATTTTCTATAGGATTCTACATCATACAGACTTAGGCAAAACCATGAAATCAAATATCCATGAAAATGCGAGTTTTCTCTTCAATCCATGAAAAAATTGGTACCAATGAAAATAAATGAATCCACAGTATCAGACTTTATGTTAGCAACTATATGTCACTACTGCCTTCAACAATGAACAACACATGCATTCAAGGCTCCGTGTTGACAGACCGTACTGTGACCTATAATGGTTTACTTTTATAAATTTTGACTTGGATGGAGAGTTGTCTCATTGGCACTCATACCACATCTTCTTATATCTATGTATGTCTTTCTAAGGTTTGGTGTAAACTATTGAAGTAAGAAATTTTGTCTTTTTGATTATCATGCAGGTTCATCATAAAAAACAAAATAACATACCATAAATGTTACATAAATTGCATGTAGACATGTATGCAACATTTAAATAAATTTTAGTTTTTTGTCTCCCTTCAACTTGTGAGGTTTGATTCTCCCTAAAAATTACTCATCATGTTCACATCCGTTTCAATCTGACAGTAGTATGACAGTAGTATGGCAGTAGTATGGCAGTAGTATGGCAGTAGTATGACAGTAGTATGACAGTAGTATGGCAGGGTGCTGCAAAACACACAAAACCCATGGTTTAACAATTTAAGTATTTGTGTTAATCTGGTCAATATTCAGGTGGAGTGTCAATCAACAAGTGAGCACCCAAATTTATAAATACATGTATCTATTGATGTCTGGGAGTGGAAAGACTTTTCTACATTGCTGATAAAACATGTATATATAATGATATATATACATTTATTATGTAATATTATCGTGGTTATCACAAAATATTAAGAGCAGTATAACTGCACCAGTGAGTTTTGAATTTCTACTTAAAATATCTGAATATACAAATGTATATATACATGTAATAATCAAGAAGTTGAAAAGTTCCAAAATCAGGCTCTTGAAATCACAAAATCCTTGCGAGTTATCATGGTTAAATTAACAATCAGCCAAAAACATGTAAAAATTGAAATTTTATATTTAAATAAAAAAAATACATACAGCGAGAATGCTGCGAGATGTTTCAAATAACTATATTTCTAACCCCAAAAACTAGTACATGTAGCTTTCAATACGAGTGAGAAATTGAATAACAATTTTTTGCTCTGTTATTTGTCCTCCATGTACGCTATAGAATGTAATCAAATTTTGATGAACAGAATAGTTTTAGGCTAAAAGATGTGAGTGTTTCATTTGCATAATATTGAAAAAATTAGAAATCTTTATAACCCCTGAGAAGAAGTAGGTACCAAGTAATACATTGTTGGATAGGTCAACCAAATTAATGCATTTATAGTTTCACTTAATCATATCACACTCTGTTCTCTGTGATACAAGAAATACCTCTTCATGGGGGAAATAGTTAACAGATCTAGACCTGAACCATGAAAGAAAGCTTTTTTTTTTTTTTTATTATTTGTTTTTCAATTGTCAGGATTTATCATACCCCCTACACTACCACCTGACAAGGGTGTCAAGGGGTTAAATATAGAAAATAATGCAGTATGCAATATGTATCGCTGACTAATAATAATTTTTACGATAAGAGTATTTAAGGTTACATATAAATTTTATTTGATTAAACCATGAAAGAAAGCTACCTATCAGTTGATTAATTTAGGTTTCAAATTGATTCTGGCAATAATCTGTTAGTCTTGTGCATTTAAATTTTGGATTAACAAAAAATTGCTTCAAGCTAGTACTGTTGACCTTCCAGATATAACCATGAAGCTGATAAATTTCTAAATTCAGGACTGCAAACCTTTTTGTAGGATGAGTCAATTTTGAGCTGTTTTAGTCCCTTGGACAACCTTGTTAAAATAGTTAAATTCAAACCCTGATCATGATAACACCTGTTTATAAAGGTCACTATAAGGACAAGAGAAAACTGACCGTATGAGAGAGTGGACCTTTGAGTTTAAGTTCAAAATATATAGGTATTAGTACTACAGTCATGACAGTGGGAAAAGAAGAGGATGACCAAAGGAGACAGGTTTTTGCTGAATAGAGGTGACCTACAGCAGGTTTGACTGTATACACCTTTGAGATAAAATGCTGATAAATTAAATCAGTGGATAATTCCAGGTCATCCAACAATCAAAATTATTGAGGAAGTTCAGGCCTCATTGGCAATCATAGTTATTGAGGAAGTTCAGGTCGCATTGCTAATCATACCACATCTTCTTATTTTCATATTAAATGTAAAATTACATTGTCCTAGAAAAGAACAATGTCCAATATATTACAAATTTTAAAACTTGTGTATTATTTATGTATTAGAACTGCCAGTAGTTACAGATTAGGAGGTATTGTTCATTCTTTCTTGTATGAATAGGCTTACATATATATTTGTTTTTTCTCTATAATGGAGAAGGTATGTTTTTAAGTCACGTTTTTGCCCCCAAGAATTAGAAAATCAAATATCAAATAAAATCCTTCAGAGGTTCACAAAACAGTTATATATATATCATGATCATATTACATCATATTAATGTTTATATATTTAAATTTTGTTTTACATTTGCTTGAGGGGTTCAAACTTCAAGTCACCAAAGGCACAATCTTGAACTCTTAAATCTTCATTTGAGGGAGACAAAAATAGAAAAAAAAAATTTCAAATTTTATATCCATATATTAATTTTGGAACATGGTCAGGATGATTTCATTTTCCAAAATGACTTTTGAACCTGCTACATCAGTTCCACATGTACACACAAATTTGGCTGGCCTTAAACCATACAGTGCTTCATCCTAGAATGAAAAAAAAACCTGTTCATGAAGACTTTTGCATAGACAAATTCCTAAAAAAAATATCACCAACACATATACTTGTATCTATACTGTGCATTCATTTATTTTCATGGTTACCAATTATTGTGAGTAAAAGAAACATTGTATTTTCTTGGATACTGGATTTCATGGTTATGCAAATGTAACCATACAAGCCTATAGGAAATTTATACTTGTTGAACATTTGAATTCATGGTTTGCTTCAACCCATGAATTCACGAAAAATTGGTACCCAACAAATAATAATGAATACCACAGTAAATGTTAAAACTAATTTTTATGACATTTACAGCCTGCTTCTACAACAGGTTATAGCTTGCCACCATCACAAGAAGTGCAAAGGATTGAATTGGGGTATATTTCCCATGATACATTCATGGAAAAAAACTTAATCCACCATATTATCATAATACTGTATAGAAATAAGAAGATGTGGTTACATAGTTGCCAACGAGACAATTAACTCTCCACCAGAGACCAAATGACATAGAAGTTAACAACTATAGGTCACCGTACAGCCTTCACCATTGAGCAAAACCAATAACGTATAGTCAGCTATAAAAGGCACCGAAATGACACAAATGTAAAACAATTCAAACAAGAAAAACTAAGCACGGCATAAAGAGACTAATCTATCAGTCTGATTTCTCTGTCCTAACTTGCATTACATGGAAAGTACTTTAAAATACATCATGTATATCATTTTCTTTAAATGTATATATCCTTTTATATTTCTAAATTTACATGTTTATGTGCAGGATATTAGCATGTAAATGCAAATTGATGGATGACGTTACAAACTGACTGTATTTGGTAATTTTAAATGTGGGTGGCTAATGATATATGGTTTTAACTTTATAAAATATTGTAGAAGCATTGAGTTCAGTTTATAAGTGCTTTTCCTATAAGATACTGTTCTTATCAAGATCATAAAGTTTAAAGTGCCTCTTGAGTGTGGCATGATTAATAATATCTTATATATTCCTTGTGAGATATCCTTCCATGAATAAAAAGAAATCAAAAGTACATGTAATAAGTCCATCACATGTTGTTTGTTGAACAAATCTATTAAATTCTTTAACAATGCCATATCTAATCTTCTCCACTTTAAATTTGTGAAAGCATTTATATACTATATAATTGATTTGTTTTCATTTGTCTGTATCAGGGCTTTTTATATGCTTACTTGACTCATTGTTGAAAGCGTACAGCAATCATACCACATCTTATTTTAATACAATCAATGAAGGCCAAGCAGACCGTGATCTGTATTATTTCAGCAATAAATCTAAGTATTTTTTAAACATTAACAATTTTACTGTTAAAGTATAACCAAATATAGAAACATTGTGAAATATGTTTAATAGCACATCTAGTTTTCTGTTTGTTTGTTTTTTGTTTTTTAACTTACGTCTATTTGTATCATTATATGCAACATGAAAATTATGGGCAGATAATTGGTTTAATTAATTATTCATACTCTCCCACTAAAAATTACTCCTATAAAGAGGGAGATGTCCAATATTGGAGACTTGAAAAGTTGACACAAATGCAGAAGTTGAATTTTTATGATGGAATATGAATACTTTGACCATGTGTTGAGCTGAGTCTGTATTATATCAATCTGATTGAGATACAGATCATGTGTCCTACTTTGACCATGTGTAGCTGAGTCTGTATTATATCAATCTGATTGAGATACAGATCATGTGTCCTACTTTGACCATGTGTAGCTGAGTCTGTATTATATCAGTCTGATTGAGATACAGATCATGTGTCCTACTTTGACCATGTGTAGCTGAGTTTGTATTATATCAATCTGATTGAGATACAGATCATGTGTCCTACTTTGACCATGTGTAGCTGAGTCTGTATTATATCAATCTGATTGAGATACAGATCATGTGTCCTACTTTGACCATGTGTAGCTGAGTCTGTATTATATCAATCTGATTGAGATACAGATCATGTGTCCTACTTTGACCATGTGTAGCTGAGTCTGTATTATATCAATCTGATTGAGATACAGATCATGTGTCCTACTTTGACCATGTGTAGCTGAGTCTGTATTATATCAGTCTGATTGAGATACAGATCATGTGTCCTACTTTGACCATGTGTAGCTGAGTCTGTATTATATCAATCTGATTGAGATACAGATCATGTGTCCTACTTTGACCATGTGTAGCTGAGTCTGTATTATATCAGTCTGATTGAGATACAGATCATGTGTCCTACTTTGACCATGTGTAGCTGAGTCTGTATTATATCAATCTGATTGAGATACAGATCATGTGTCCTACTTTGACCATGTGTAGCTGAGTCTGTATTATATCAATCTGATTGAGATACAGATCATGTGTCCTACTTTGACCATGTGTAGCTGAGTCTGTATTATATCAGTCTGATTGAGATACAGATCATGTGTCCTACTTTGACCATGTGTAGCTGAGTCTGTATTATATCAATCTGGTTGAGATTCAGATCATGTGTCCATGCTTTGACCATGTGTAGCTGAGTCTGTATTATATCAATCTGATTGAGATACAGATCATGTGTCCTACTTTGACCATGTGTAGCTGAGTCTGTATTATATCAATCTGATTGAGATACAGATCATGTGTCCTACTTTGACCATGTGTAGCTGAGTCTGTATTATATCAATCTGATTGAGACACAGATCATGTGTCCTACTTTGACCATGTGTTGAGCTGAGTCTGTATTATATCAATCTGATTGAGACACAGATCATGTGTCCTACTTTGACCATGTGTAGCTGAGTCTGTATTATATCAATCTGATTGAGATACAGATCATGTGTCCATGCTTTGACCATGTGTAGCTGAGTCTGTATTATATCAATCTGATTGAGATACAGATCATGTGTCCATGCTTTGACCATGTGTAGCTGAGTCTGTATTATATCAATCTGATTGAGATACAGATCATGTGTCCTACTTTGACCATGTGTAGCTGAGTCTGTATTATATCAATCTGATTGAGATACAGATCATGTGTCCTACTTTGACCATGTGTAGCTGAGTCTGTATTATATCAATCTGATTGAGACACAGATCATGTGTCCTACTTTGACCATGTGTAGCTGAGTCTGTATTATATCAATCTGATTGAGATACAGATCATGTGTCCATGCTTTGACCATGTGTTGAGCTGAGTCTGTATTATATCAATCTGATTGAGACACAGATCATGTGTCCTACTTTGACCATGTGTAGCTGAGTCTGTATTATATCAATCTGATTGAGATACAGATCATGTGTCCATGCTTTGACCATGTGTAGCTGAGTCTGTATTATATCAGTCTGATTGAGATACAGATCATGTGTCCTACTTTGACCATGTGTAGCTGAGTCTGTATTATATCAATCTGATTGAGATACAGATCATGTGTCCTACTTTGACCATGTGTTGAGCTGAGTCTGTATTATATCAATCTGATTGAGATACAGATCATGTGTCCATGCTTTGACCATGTGTAGCTGAGTCTGTATTATATCAATCTGATTGAGATACAGATCATGTGTCCTACTTTGACCATGTGTAGCTGAGTTTGTATTATATCAATCTGATTGAGATACAGATCATGTGTCCTACTTTGACCATGTGTAGCTGAGTCTGTATTATATCAATCTGATTGAGATACAGATCATGTGTCCTACTTTGACCATGTGTAGCTGAGTCTGTACTATATCAATCTGATTGAGATACAGATCATGTGTCCTACTTTGACCATGTGTAGCTGAGTCTGTATTATATCAATCTGATTGAGATACAGATCATGTGTCCTACTTTGACCATGTGTAGCTGAGTCTGTATTATATCAATCTGATTGAGATACAGATCATGTGTCCTACTTTGACCATGTGTAGCTGAGTCTGTATTATATCAGTCTGATTGAGATACAGATCATGTGTCCTACTTTGACCATGTGTAGCTGAGTCTGTATTATATCAATCTGATTGAGATACAGATCATGTGTCCATGCTTTGACCATGTGTAGCTGAGTCTGTATTATATCAGTCTGATTGAGATACAGATCATGTGTCCTACTTTGACCATGTGTAGCTGAGTCTGTATTATATCAGTCTGATTGAGATACAGATCATGTGTCCATGCTTTGACCATGTGTAGCTGAGTCTGTATTATATCAGTCTGATTGAGATACAGATCATGTGTCCTACTTTGACCATGTGTAGCTGAGTCTGTATTATATCAATCTGATTGAGATACAGATCATGTGTCCTACTTTGACCATGTGTAGCTGAGTCTGTATTATATCAGTCTGATTGAGATACAGATCATGTGTCCTACTTTGACCATGTGTAGCTGAGTCTGTATTATATCAATCTGATTGAGATACAGATCATGTGTCCTACTTTGACCATGTGTAGCTGAGTCTGTATTATATCAATCTGATTGAGATACAGATCATGTGTCCATGCTTTGTTTTGCGAGGATCTGACAGTGCTCTCTTTTACCTACTTTTGTTAAACCCTTTTCAGTTTCCTTTGATTTAAAATGACATATCAATACCTGCCTTCAACACTTTAGTGGTAGAAATTTCATTGGTTGATGTTGTAAAAAACAGAACAAAGTAGTAGTCAAGTATTGTAAAAAAAGGTTTCACACACAATCTATTCCAATCAGATTGGTATGATACAGAGGTGTTTCATAGGCTGTTAAAAAAAGTAGTAAACTTTGATAATGTGATGACTGTTTATCAACAAGAGATATTTTAATACATGAACCTATGTTGAATTTTTATAATTTTTTGTGTAGATTTATTTTTGATACATGCTGTTAACTTTTTTTCAAGTATGCTACAAATTATGTAAGTTTAGTTTATAGATGAAAAAGCAGAATCCATGTAGGCACTTTATTCGAATCTTTGATTAATAATTGTAAAGATTTTGAATTTTAAAACTTGAAGTTTTAAAAGAACAGCCGTAAAAGGTGTGGAAACTGGCCAAAGCTGATGAATGGTCATGGGATCTGGCGATATATTATTTTGGTTTAAAAGGTTAAGAAATGATAAAAAAAATTACTGTATTTTTTAATGATCTCTTGATGGCATGCCATGATGCAAGTTATTTATAAATAATTTGAGAATGTCATTTAATTTATAATTCCTTTCTCACTCTACTGTTATTTTTTATACACAAACATTGAGTTTTATACAAGTTGTACAATAACACTTTTAAAGTTTTAATCTATAATTGAAGAGGAACATAATTGTTATCTCCCTTTGAATATAAACCACACTCATACTTTCATATCAGACACCGAAAACAACTTTTACTAGATTCATGAATTTGTCATTTTATTTTTAGATAATGGCAAGATAAATAAATAGGATAATGTTTTGATTTTGAAATAAGAACTATTTAGAACTTTACACAAACAGCCATAATAGAAAGTCTAGAAAATAAGAAAGGTCTTTGCTACATGGATTTTTAAAAAAAATTTAAGGGAGGAATAATAATGGTAAGCAAGTGTCTTTGGACAACCACTGCATTGTGTGGACACATGCCAGGGTTACATGAATATTTGACATAGAAGAAATAAAAACATCTGCAAATTACTTCTGGAAATCTAAAATGATTGAAATCTGTATTATAAATTTACCAGCCATCAATTTTTTTGGATGATCAAAGTATACAGTATGTCAGTACTTTGATTTAATGTAAATTGATTCTTAAAAAAAACTAAAAGTGAAAAAAAAAAAATGTGTTTTTTTATTAGTGTTATTTAAGTTTGCTTGAAGGGTCTGTGAATTTTTGATTTCAGTGCTTATACTACATTTTTAATTCAAAATATACATGAAATAGACTCAATCACCTCAAGACTGGTTACTCGAATTAAAATGATATCAAGTATATCAGATGATGCATGCCTACTTGTGGAGAACATTTTTATATTACATTTAATTACATATACATGCATAGACACTTTGTGAGCTTATCAAACACCTTGGGGCTGTTTAAGTTATCATTGCAACTGATTTAAACGATTGTATGAATTTTGTAATAAACCATAAAGAAAACTTATGAGTAATAAATATTAGACTTAAGGAAATGTTTGTATCATTCAGAAAATGATAAATAAATTACATATTAGAATAATTTTCTGATTTCCCTATAAATGTTCATACATGTACAAAATGTATATTGTTGAAAAAAGAATTCTGGTAGAATGAACTTTAAAAAAAATTGTTAATTGAGTACTCATTGACATAATCTGCTAAATAATCTTACCTGCATAGAAGTTAATAGGTTTACCATAATAAAAGATTCATTTCCTCTCCCGGATGGGAAACCCCAAATGAAGTTTTCATTTTCCTGTTTTAAAAAACAGGAGTATCAGTTGTATGGGCAACATGAAAATAATATTTTTGTTGGAATTAAAAACAAGTACTTGAAATCTTGATTTGTGAATATCTGCTTATGTCAGTATTTTTGTAGTGATTTATTATAAACATGTGTTTTCTCCCTAATTACTGGTAAAGTCATGGATGTTAGGCTACATCCAGTAACACAAAACCACAAAGAAAATGACATCATAATAAATTGAAGGAAAAACAAATTGCTGATATCCTGTCGTTAATGTATCTAAAGACAGCTTTGAGGAAAGAAAAATACTTTTAAATTTAACAATGAATTTTCAAGAAAAACTTTAGTAAAAGTTTGCACATATTGTTGGACTTACAATTGTATTCTTATTACTACAAATGGAGTATTTGCAATTTGAGTGTAAAATGTACTTTTTCAACAAATTTTATTGAAACAAAAAGGAAACACATCTGCTTCCTTGAAATACAAACTTGCATTTGCAACTGTTCATCCAGGGATGGATTATGTATTTATGTACTATTACATATTTTCATCATTTATACATATATATGCATTTTAAATGATCTAAATTTTATCAGTGAATAAAGGACAAACAAGGAATTCTCAAAAGGAGTAATAGTTCTGTGTTTATTTTGAGACTTTTTGTGCATTGTTGAGCAATGAATGATGAGGACAAGGTATGTATATGCACCAAACCTCACAGATTGTTTACAGAATTTCAGAAAATAGTGGGGGGGGCAGAATAAAGCATAACTGTTCTTATAATTATCAGTGGCAGATTTGGTATTTCTGTTCCCTTACCAATGCTTACCCCCTAAAATTTCTTCTTTCTATGATTTGTAAGCTGACAAAGGAGGCCTTTTGGTATTCTGAAAAAAGGGGGTCTGTGGGGACAGGCCTCTCCTCTGGCTATTTAATCTGTCATTGGATAAAGGTCATTGTCAAAGGGTTAAACCAGGAAACATATTTTGTGTGCAATGATAATTTTGCAATTTTGATTTGTAGCTTTTGCTGATGGGTCAATGGACTGAGAGTCCCCAAATGTGGCATCTGTCAAGTAGTAACTAAATATGTACTGGCTTCATTTAAATGATTCATTTTGATCACTGTAAGGTTTTATTTATTTATTATTTCCTTGTACCTGATTCAGATTTTAAACCATTAAGTTTGTGCAAGGGATATTTTTTAGATTTTATCTTAATCAAGATATAAAAAACAATAAACATTTTCGGAATATATCTGTCCGTTCTGTGTTATTGAAAGGTAATGTGTGTGCTGAAATTGATATCCCTAATCATATGATGTTTAAAGTTTATAAAAGGGTCTGCATTTATACTTTCAAACACCCTTATTTCTATAGAGACATGGAGGTTCTGATTATTCCATTTGGTAATTTATCAACTATCAACTTTCATATAAATGTTTTCAAACTGTCCTTAAAATCATGTACATTGAGTATTTATTTTTTCATAAATTAATACTTTCAATTATATGGGTACATTACTTTTAAGAGAGAAAAAAAGTTTTTTTTAAAATGAAATGTAAATAAATAATGTCTATTTAGAATATTACTAAAATTTTGCTGGAATTTACTTCATGGCACTGTATTGCTGTTTGTCACCAGTCTATAACTTGAATTTTATCTGCTACTCAATATCAAACAAGACATAGTTCATGATTCAATTTGAGTATTAGATTTCATCTGGTTTGTTAACAAGTGTGGTAAGTTTTTTTTTATAAGCTATAAATAAAGATGCATGTACATGAATTTTATGTTTTTTGTCTAGTCTCAGTAAAAGTAACATTGTACTCACGAAAGGTCACGGTAGATCCCAAAAATATTCTTTTTTAGTAAATGAACTAAAAGTCAAGTGACTTACACTCAATCTTTAATGACGTTCAGGAAATTGGTACAGAATGTTACCTTATATTTAGATCCTAGGGAAATTGATATATTATTTAAAATTTGTTCAGAATTATTAATTATTGAAGGACGGATACAATCTTAATTTTATGTAAAGGATGTATAAAATGTCATTTCAGATCCAGTTAGGGGACTATTGTTTACCCCCTGACAAAAAGGAGGAGACACTTGGTGGAATAGCCTCCAGTAGGACAACTGAATATGCCGATCCATATGAAACAAGACAGATGTTAGAAGGTATTCATCTTAAATTTTATTTTATCCCCTTACCATTGTTAGTTTGTTTATACTTTTGTCCTACAAAATAAATACATTTTTCCATTCAGTACCTTAGTAGCACTGTATAAGAAATTTTAGCTTTGAATTCCCAGCTTAAATTGTTTTGGGGGAAAAAATGGTTTGTTGTTCTGAAAAATGGGTACCTTCTTTGTGTTATCAACTCCTTCTACAGTTTTCAACCCAGATCCCTTATATTTCACAGGAAGATTGCATATATGTTGAAGTTGTGCACCTACTATACATTGTGTATTATGGAATTGTCCAAGGAATTTTATCTCATTTTGCCAGACATGGAAACTTAGTCTTTTTACAGCAAAATTTATGTAACAGAGTACACGCTCTGTGTAATCAACTCCTCCAACAGTTTTCAACCCAGATCCCTGAAACATCACAGGAAGATTTTCACATATATAAGGAAGTTGTGCCTTGCTGTTATAGAATTGTTTGAGGAAAATTTACTTCAGATATTTCAAATATTTAAATGTTCAGTATATATAGAGCATTCTCCATTGGTTAAAAAACATTCTGCGCAACCCGGCCATTTAAGTCTTTGATCTATTTTTATGAATTTTGTACCTTATAAATCAATTGCAAAATGGTATCTCACATTACATGCTGAACCTGAGGCGCTGACCTTCAAAAAAGAACATACATATATAAAACAATATAAAAACTTATATATAAATAGAAAATGGCATGAGTCCATCATAAATTATCCCATTCAACAAACAATTTCTGAACTAAATTTTAGCTTATTACCGGGGTACTGGGTAATTATAAGAGTGCCTAATTTGCCTTTTAGTTTAATTTCTTTTTAAATGTAGTTCATTAACTCCTATTGCCTTTTATTGCTATTAATATAACTAAGTAACAGGACTCAACATAAATATTGTTTCACTAATCATGTATTTATTTCAGTCCAGCCTGTTGAGACTTTGTATCTTGATCTGCATGCATGTTTGTGAATGCAAGTTCACCAACTTGCATTGTTTTTAATCTATTTGGGAAAATACAATGGAGCACATTTTATTTCTTGTCACATATTCATGAAGAACAATTTCAGTCCTTTAAGTGTATTTCGTGTTCATAGCTGCTTATAGTCAAGTCTAAATATCTGCACTGACATGCAAATGAGGTCACTGAAAAAATAATCTAGATTTTAACAAGGTTAAGCACATGTTGAAAATAAAAACATTTAACCAAAAGGTTGATGAACAGAAGTGGCTCCATGGTGTTCGCCATTAATTTTCTCTCAGCTTGTACCAAGCTTCTACTGTCCCTATTATAAACAGTATGATTGCACAAAAGTAAGCCTAGAAACATATTTCAGAAAATGCTCATTGACTGTCAATTTTCTCAGTCATTTCATTGCTAAATAGATTTAAAAAATAATGAAAAAAATAATTCCTCTGAGGCATCGTTGTGTGTATGGCAGGCGATCCCTTGAGGCATTGTTGAGCACATTCCAGGCAAAACCTAAAGCTGTAAAGGCATCATTGGGGAATAAAGGGTTAACTTAAGAAAATATATAAGGTATACAATGGAAACTAAAAATTAGACCACTATATTTATATTTCACAATCCAGATACATTTAAAAAATATTTAGAATTATAATAAAGTATATATATAGTTGTCATATAAATGTCTACAGTGCTCTTTGTCTTGTTTCCAAATAAGTTAAAAAAGTGAGGCTTTAGCTTGCTGTTTCCGGCCGGCCGCAGCAGTGCCTTCAACTATATATTAGTTTTTAATTAGGTCAAGTTTATGGGGAACCACCAGTGGTAGGTCAGTGATATGCAGTTGTATTAGCATTGACACATCTCATTTCAATGGAGATTATTAGGCCCTGCCCCCTCAAGCATGGTCTATTGACCTTGAGGCTTTTGTTTAGTTTACGTGTACTAGTTTGTGATTAGGTCAGTTTAAGGGGAACCATTAGTGGTAGGTCAATGATATTTGGTATGCAGTTGTATAAGCATTGCATGGTACATCTCATTTCCATGGAGATTATTTGCCCCTCCCCCTCAGTCTTTGTTTGTTATATTTCAATGTACTTCATGAGGGCCTCAGGGAAGATTAGTTTTGTAGCTAACTGTGTAACCCTCTTTAGATAAAGGAATTATTATTATTATTATTATTAGTCATGGTATATTGACATGGAAACTTTTGCATAGTTTACATGTATTAGTTTGTAATTAGGTCAGTTTGAAGAGACCTACTAGTGGTAGGTCAATGATATTTGGTATGCAGTTGTATTGGCATTTGCAAGTCTCATTTCCATGGACATTATATGGCCCCACCCCCTCGTAATGGTTCATTTACTTTGAAACTTTTGCATAGTTTACAAGTTAAAGTTTGTGTTTTGGTTAGTTTTAAGGTGTCACACCACCAATTCACTCACTCCAATTTAGAATGAATGTAAAAGAAGTCCTTCCCTGACAAAAAATAATGCTTTTGATGTCATTGTTAACTTAAGCTAACCAACCAATTTGCAGAAATGAAACTGCTGATGAAAGAGAAATATATTAAGACCATTTTGAGCCAAAATTTACTTGTCCATGAGTTTGCATTAAAAAAAATTTTTTTAAATTAATGCGCTTCACAGTATACTTATTTAAGGTTTCCAGAAAACCAGCTGTTATTTTTGGTAGTAGTTACCTTCGGAACGTTGGTATTTATTAAAAGACTTTAAACATGGGTTGAAAATTGACATGTAGAAAGGTGATACATGTACAATTCAGGATATACCTGGTTTCTATGAAGTTAAACTTAAGGTAAAATATTTAGAAAGCTGTGGAAATTTAAAAATTTGGTTGAATAGATAGGGATTTTGAATTGGTAGTCTGACACTTAAGGGAACCACTTATTATAAGTCAATTGTATTTGGTATGGAGTTTTATAAGCATTGGCATTTCACATTTCCATGGAGATTATTTGGCCCTGCAACTTCAGTCAGGGTTCATTTACATTGAATGATTTGCAAAGTTTAAATTTTAGATATTGCCATTTTAATTCAACATTTGCATTATACCATCAAAATTACAAAACACGAGACATATCTTTGTGTCAACAGTTTATTTCGAACTACATGTATAAGCCATTGAATTACTTTTGTTTGAAAAGCACTGTAACATTTGAAAAGAGAATTTTCCTCAATCCTTACTTTAAATTTTTTTAAATTTCAAAAAATCCCATTAAACACTGGGCAATATTAAGTATATTAAAATAAAAAAAAATTTTTTTTTTTTATAAATTCAGTTAATACTAAACAAGTGCTGTTTATCTATACTTAATTGAAAGCTGATAATAAAGTAGTTATTTCAAACTGTTGACTAAGGGAGATAACTGGAAATTGACATGAGGTACAGTAAACATGGGGATTCAGTTTATTATCACTTTTGCAGGTGTTCAGTGATGAAACACTGTGAATCAGGGTGATTGCTGATAATTCAAGTTGCTAACACTCTGATCTGTGACATGATAAATCCTAAACAAGGATTACAAAATTCCAATTTAGCCAATATAAATTAAAAATTGAAATGGATAGATTAGTACAATGTATGTCAAATATGTATTTGTGATACATGTAATCTAAATGTGGTAGAGGATGACATACATTTCATTGATGATTGTCCTAATTTTATAAGCACAAATTCCAAGCTATTTTGTTTTATTTCCAACTCAAATAGTAATTTTCTTAAAACTTTCCCCCAAGCACTAAATTGTACAGCATTTTGAAAAAAACTTTGTTTTCTTCTGGATTCAGGTATAATGAGATTAAATTGATAATATAAAAACAGTATTTTGATTTTTGTTTATACAAGAAAATTTAAGATTACCTTTCTTTTAGAAAATTTGCTTGAATCATTAATGTTTGTGTTGAATAAACTGCCCCTCAAGGGCCCTGACTGGCAAATAAGCTTGTAATCTTGTATCCGTGTCTTTTAAAAAAAAATTCCTTCTGGAATATAAACAGATACATTTCAGCCTAAATTACCATCATTAACAGTAAAAGTGACCACCAACAGTAACTTTTAACACACCTTGTGTGTACAGTAGAAGATTTCCTAATATCAATGAATTTTTTCTGGCATAAAAACAAATAAATTATTGAACACTTTATCAAGGTTGTTAAAAAAACTCAGTGTCATTGCAGGTCCTTAGATAAGAATCTTATCATAAATGATAGCCAAATCAATTTAAAAAAAAGCACCATATCCGATCATTCTTAAGACCATTATTGATGATAAGTAATGTAGCACAAAAGAAGAAAAAGTGTTTCCTGCTTTTTATACGCGCGTTTACGGACGTATTATGGTATACTGTTGTCCGTCCGTCTGTCGTCAACATGTCCGACATTAACTCAAAAACGCTTTAACCAATTTGCATGAAACTTAGGTGAATTGTTTATATCAATTGACGTGAGGCTGGGCCGCTCCCTTTCGTTTTTTATAAATTTTAGATTTGACGTTTCCGAATTTTGGGGTTTTATTCATTACAAAAAGGGTAATTTTCCAGCTTTTGGACAATAACTCAAAAACGCTTTCACCAATTTGCAAGAAACTTTGATGAACTGTTTATATATGTTGACATGAGCTCCCTTTTGATTTTTATAAATTTTAGATTTTACCTTTCCGAGTTATGGGGTTTTATTCATTACAAAAAGGGGGATTTTCCAGTTTTCTGAAAACAACTCAAAAATGCTTTGAGCAGTTTTCCTTAAACTTTGTTGAATTGTTTATATCTATTGATTTAAAATCCCATTTGATTTTTATAAATTTCAGATTTTACATTTACTAGTTATAGGGTTTTATTCATTAAAAAAAGGGGGATTTTCCAGTTTTTGGACAATAATTCAAAAATGCTTTCAGCAGTTTTCATGAAACTTTGGTAAATTGTTTATATCTATTGACGTAAGCTCCTTTTGATTTTTATAAATTTCAGATGTTACGTTTACTATTTATGGGTTTTTATTCATTTAAAAAAGGGGTATTTTCAAGTTTTCGGACAATATCCTTAAAGTGCTTTGAGCTGTTTTCATTAAACTTTGGTGACTGATTTATATCTATTAAGATAACCTCCCTTTAGTTTTTTTTTATAAATTTCGGATATGACATTGAGAAGTTATTGAACTTTATTCCTTGAAAATGTGACGGGCGTATCATGCGCTCATGGCGCAACAGTTTATTTGATTTAGAGAAGGCTTTCAATATTGTCATTCACCAAGGAATAAAACTCAAGTTATTAAAAATCGGTAAGGTTCAAACTTTTACAATATCATTAAGAGTATCGTATGCCCTGAGTAAATCTTGTGTTCTATCATAAAGATAGAGCGACAGACTTTTTAAAGGTCCTTTAAAATTATTAAAATATTCAAAAATTACCTTCTTGATTGTCTCCAAAAATCACCTAATCCAGTCTTTGGTAATTGATGAGCAGACCATTGTTTATTATATGCAAATGATAATATTGTCATTTTCTCATCCTCAGGAAAGATCAGGAAAGGACTTAATCTATTAAGTACTATTACAAAGGCTGGTGTTTTAGAATTTCACCCAATAAAACAATAATAAGATGCTTGTTTTTAAAAAAGCTGACAGGCATATCAAGCGCTTTATAATAATGAAATATTTATTGAATGTGATCAACATTTTAGTGCATCTCGATCTCTTTCCTTCGGTCAAAGGGAATTGTATGACAAGGCATTAAAAGCATACTACAAGCTGTAAAGGACTTCTTGTCATTGAATCCAAATATAAAACATTCTTCATGTGTTTGATCATACAATTCTTTTAGAAATAGAAATAGTTTAGAAATTTTCAGATATTTTAAGCCTTTCAAAAGAAATTTTTAATCTCAGACTACAACAGTAGATGAGGCTTATCCTGATCTTCTTTCAGGATGTTTGTAAACTATTACTTGGTGTGTGGGAAAGGACAACACAGCCACCCTTTCAGAACTAAGGCAATTCCCTCCGCATTTTGGCATAACAAAGTGTATAATCAGATAGTGACGTAGGCTTAAAGATTTTAGTTCATCTTTTCATTTTATAAAGGAAGCATATTTTGAGTCAACATTGCTACACGAGTAAACATTCCCTCAACTTCTTACAAAAGAATATAAAATGTGTTGGCAGTTTAGCTTCTACAAGCTATTATAGGCATACATTTTTATGCAAAAGCAATCTGTATCAGTACTAAGGGGATCCATGGAGACTCAAAATGCATATCTGCATTGATAGAAAGCTCTGTAGCTACAACGCCTTCAAGAAAAATGTTGGTCTTGAAAGACATCTGATTATATTACGATCCCCTGAGCGAGAGTGAAAATTCACTCACTTGCTTATTGCGTCACATAGACTAATGATAGAGCAAGGTCGTTATCACGTCACTTCCTGGTAAAACAGATATAGAATAACCATACATTGTCTCGAAATATAAATTTTATTTGTACAAGGCTTATCAACAGTTAGAAAGCAAGGCTTTGCTGAGCATTTCTATCCTGTTTTGAGCCGAGTACAAATAAATTTATATTTCGAGACAATTTATGGTTATTCATCATTATATACTGCAACTTCTATAACTGTTCCAAATGAAATATTTAGAGGAAAAACCAGCATGTTATAATTTGGAGCGGACGACGTAAAATTTCCGTGAACCTGTATTTTTTATTGAAGTCATAAATAAAACTCTACGGAAGCACTTTGTCAACGTCACAAACAAGGCGATATACGGTCAGTGACTGTATATCACAAATGAATATACGGTCAATGCAAGTTGACTGCGCAAATAGCACAGCTGCAGTATATATTAATTTCTGTTTGTAACTTGATTGATGAATGCCAAATGAAAATCATCTATAATCTTCTCTACACTAGACACAAGGATGGCATGGTGGTACCAATAATAATATGCCCTTTTGTATGTTTTTTATTTTTGAAATAAACAGGATTATTCCCAGATAAATTTATTTTTTCTGCTTTTTCTAAAACAATGTGCTGCTTGTGAAATCAATGAATGGAAATAAAACGTCTTCTTTTATACCCTATTTTTTTAATAATTTCCGTTTTTCCATAAACTCAAAACTATGCCAATAAAGAATAATTTCTTTTATTCGATCACAGAAATAGAGTTGTAGGTCATTTGATCAACGATTAGGAATACAAAAAACGTAAACAACTTAATTGGACCAACGACTGTATAAATTCAATGGGATCTCATCGAATCGCAAATATAAAACCTCTCATTTTTGCTGGGGTCCTTGAATCGCAAAAATAAATAGTTTGACAAGTAAAAATAATTTGCCATTTGATTATACACTTTATAATTTAGTTGTTTTTCACTGTTTGTACTTTTTCTCTTAATTGTCTTTATATTTTATTCATTTCAATATTTTTGTTAATTAGCCCTATACTTACTTAGTATGTGACAAGAAAATCAAAAAAGAACTGTAAAATGAAATATAATTTAGATGTATATATACAAAATATGTACAACTAGTTAAGCATAAATAACTAAACCAATCTCAATCTTCCATAACCCGAATGATCACTTTGGATGACCGTTAAAAATACATGTGTGTGTGTGTCAGTTTACCGTGACTATAAGTTAAGTTAGTCGATGTCATAATAGGCCCTTCATACATATACTTATCACAGAACTTATCATTGGATTACGCTTGATTCATAGCGACGACAGAAATTGATTATGCTTGGGTTCCCCCTACTCAACATTTGCTCAATATTGAGTTTTCTGTAATCTTGCTTAATTCTATGACTGTTCTGCAGTTTTCTTTGAAATAAAAAATCATATTTGTGTTTGTTTTGCATATAAAAAATATTATGAAACTTGAATTTATATACAATGCACTTTTTAAAAGTGCCCAATAAATGTCGGGCTTAACGGAACATTTAATGGAGACGTTAACGGGTGCGTTAATTAACGGAGACTTTGTGAATACGAATTGAAATTAGCGGAAACTTAACGGAGTTATTAATGGGTCCCTTAGTTAATGAATGTTTCATGAATAAGCTCCCTGGATTCCTCCCCCTTAAAAGATTTTTTTAATTCATGTTAACACCTGGCAATTAAAAGCCTGACAAATATTGTGAAGACACACATCTATTGTTGAAGATTGTATATGTTCACCTTGACATGTACATCACATCTCCTTTTTTGACATGGTCAAATGCTAGATCATGCAGTCACAGGGAAATATTTTGTGATAGTTCACTTAAAATCAAATTGGCTGCACAACAGAATATGCTTGATATAAAACCCTATGGAATTTTTCTCTGAAAATGTATGGTCAATTCAAAAGAAATGTAGTGCAAGCCTTTAGGAACTCTTTTCTTTTATTGTTTTTTTGTTGTTTTTTGTTTATATAAATTCCAAACTAATTTTTAATCTGACAAGAAAAGATGCATGTTTTCATAATTGAAATCTCTTTAACAAGTACATAAGTAAATCAAGAACGAACCTTTTATAATCAGGAATTCCCTCCTTGAAAGAAAGTTATTGTTGAGAGTTGTTGACAGTATTATTCATTTCCGAGACATGACATACAAGTTTGCCTGGAGCAATAATAACACAACTGTTTTGGTTCTAATAAGGTTAGACAAGATTTACGTATTATTGGTGTTTTTTAATATAACTTTATGACCAAGGGATTGTTTTTCAAGTGCCAGCGGAAAAGTATGAATTGTTTATTTGAAGTAGGCACTGCATGATATGAACAAATAGACTATTACATATATGGCTTACTTTAATATCTGGATGATTAGTGGATTGTTAATCAACAATTTGTATTGTTTTCAGAAATCAAAGGTTTGTATTGAATTCTAACTTTATCAACTTTAATACACCTTTCTTCCAGAATATGTAAAAAAGTGAAAAAGCTACATACATAAACAGTAGCTTCTTTCCACTAATTGTCATGATTATGGAAGTGATAGGTTTGTCCTTCTCTACACAGTTATGTGTTTTATGCATACTTCTTTAAGAATTTTTCCACTTTTGTTTTTGTTTTTTTTTTTATTATATAGTTCCACAGTCCACTGTTCCTGCAGTTTGAAGTTGTTGGCTGTACTGGTTTACCTTCCATATCTATCCTTCCTTCACTCCCATGTATTCTGGCATACTTTTTATACCCAAGCTCCTAAAGAAAGGGGTATACTTTTTTACCCCTGTCTGTCCATCCTTTATTATATGTGTCTGTCCCATGAAATTTTGTTGCATTTCTCTCAGGAACTTCATCTACAAATTAGAGTTTACTGAAATTTGGTACTAGGTTTCATGTGCATTCTACAACTAGTGATGCTTTTTCACATTCATTGTTCATCAACATCCTTCCAGGGAATATACTCTTACACATGGCCATGTTTGAAACTTTTGTCACATTTTTCTCAGAAAATACGAACAGTTCAACTTTCTGAAATTTGGTATTAAGCTTCATGTGAGCATGTTATACCACTTGATGTATTTTCATTGGTTAGTAACTTCCTGCTTATTGAAAACTTTATATAATCTTACAATTTTTACACAAAATGGCCATGAATGAAATTTTTGTCAAATTTTTCCTTGGAACTACAAATCAGAACTTTCTAAAATTTAGCATGAAGCTTCATGTGAGCATGCTAACAGAGTGATAAGTTTTCACATACATTGCTCATCAACTTCCTGTTTAGAAAATACTTATTTTGGGGTATCATTAGTGAGCCATAGATCACAGTTCAACTTGTTGACAAATTTTTAGACTCTTGAAGATTTAGAAAGTTCTTGACATATTGGATAGACAAATTACCAATCATTGAAAGATTATTATAAGTTGGCCAAAAATAATGTGCCAATATAAATGAGATTAAAAAGTACTCAATATAATATCATTCATCCTCAATTGTCAATATTGGAATAACTTCATATGCTTGCTGTAATGGAAATAACTTGCTTAAAAATATATATTTAACACAAAGATTCCTTATTTATGAAATGGACTTTTTGGAAATGGCTACATATAGAAAAAAATACTACAAATTAATGAACTAATAATAGAAATTTTCTGAAAAATCTACAGTGAGAAATAATTATAAGTTTAGATTTAGTAGTAGGACTAAACCCTTGAATGAAGTTAGTATTTAGACCTATAGACTTGTAAATGAATAAAAGAAGTTGTTGGATATATGCAAATGCAACACAAAATTAAAAAAAAATTGAAGACATTTTTTACAGGGCATACTCTATAACAATATGAGAGTCTCTTTACAATAATTATGTCAAGCTCTAAATATGAATTCATATGAATTGTATGGAACTACTTAAGATCTTTCTCCTCAAACATTGTGTAATTAGACATAATTTTTTTTTTATTTAAATACTTCTGTATAACCAAGTCATGAAAATATGCATTTACTTTTAATCCTAGTGTATGACTGTTGACAAATACTTCTGCCATGACTTCCAAACAAGTGTTGTTATAATATTTCCTTCTAGCTGATCATTCATAATTAGAATTTTTAATATGGACATGTGATTGAAATTTATTCTAAAAACTGACTTCTTTTTTTTTTTTTTTTAGAAAATTAGTTTTTTTTTACACATTATTTTATTTAAATGTTCTAAATTTCTCACAATGGTCATTTTAAATAAAGAAAAGATTAGCATTTCACCCCATTATAATGTATTTTTCCACTTGAGATCTTCATTAATGTAAACACAATATTATGTATACACGTCTTTGCCCGAAGGAATCTATTATTATACATGTAATATATTTTATCCCCTTTGGGTGATATGAGTTTCATTAGTTATCATAAATATTTTAATCATTCGTAATAGTTTATGTGTGTATGGATGAATTTCCTTATTTACAAAGTAAACAGCTATTTTTACTTTTTACTTTTTTCAATGATCCTAAGTTGAATGTTGAATTATAAACACATGACTTTTGTTCAACTATGATCAAGGTCTAGGATAGCTATACAAACTTTATAAAGAAGATCAGGTAAATTTTTTGAGTTATTTAAACATGAGGACATATTTTGAATTGTTTCCTTGTGTTATTCGAGGACAGGGAAGAAAATAGAGGTAATTTCTTCTAAGTATAATCCAAATATTTAATTAATGGGTTTAAGTATAAGATAAAACAATAGGACAATCCGGAACTTGAAAGTATTACTAAGACAGAATAAAATGATATAAGTCGTTTGTAAATCTTGTGACTTTATTTATCTTTTAAATAGAGAATTTGAAAGGTCAATTGTTTATTCTTTATAAATATCTTAGTCCCTGTTTGACCTACAGGGAAGGTTTTGAATAGATGTGATGGATTTTTTTCTGCTGGGGTCTCAAGATTTATAACACATATTTTTTCCCAAAAATTACCCAAAAACCCAATAATGTGTGTCATTTGCTATTCTTTTAAGAAAAAAAAAACATGCTAAAAAATGGATGTAAAATGAGGACTGACATTCTTACACATTTTCTTTAAACTGCTAGAATTATGTATTATCACCAATACTGCAGGTTAGGGCTGAAATTAGTTAAATATGATAACTTTATTTTAAGATTCAAATTCAGTATTTTTTAGGAAAAACTTTAAAATATTATGTATATTTCCTGACATGAGGGGGTGGAAATGTAAATATAACATGCATAGATATATTGACATGGATAATACAAGCATGTCAAATTGATTGTATACAAAATGACCACATACAAATAAATATGTTAAAAATGTCACAGATTTTAAATGACTCATAAGTGTGTTACTAATCTTTGTATTAAAGAAGAAAAGTAGATTTATATAGACATGATACATAAATGTGTATAATTATGAGGTAACTACAATTAAATCTGACTAAATAAAACTCTTTTGGACATAATAGTTTGTTCTACTAATATAGACAGGTATTGGTTAGAATAGGCTATATCATATAAGTATATTCATTGTAAGTATTTATACAGCAGTTCCGTGTAGGCTTGTTTCTAACACATGTTCTAAGGGTTCAGTTAAGACAGAAATTTATTTACAAGTTCATGATATATTTCAAGTAGAAATCTTGAAAAGGTCAAGAACTGCACCATGATAAGGCAAATCCCTTAAATAAATTGTTAAACTGCAGTTTATTTAAACTTATAAGGATTTATTGGTTGGAGAAAAAATAAATCTTAATATCTTTCATTTTAAGGTACCTAACACTACAGGGAGATAACTCTGTAAAAATCAGCTAAACGTTTTAATTACGTTGTATTGTTAAGGAAATATTAAGCTTCTCAATGATCAAAATTGGTGTTTGTCAAACTGCTATATAACCAATGAAATTTTTCTGATAAAGTGGTTGGTTCAAATTTTTTGAAATTTTTATATTTTTTGTCAAAGGGTCAAAGTAAACATTTGGTCAAAATTTTATGAAAATTAAACGAGCCAAATTAATATTAGTCAAGGTGTTGGGTACCACCTTAAATATTTATAGTTTGAAAGTTTGTAAATTGTTCTAGTAAATTAAGAAATCAAATAAATAAAGGAGAAATTAATCGTAAAATTGTTTTAAAATCTGCTGTATGATGTTGCATAAACCTTGAAAAATTGACACTATTGGCACTTATATGTCTATTTGCCAGATATTGACACTATTGGCACTTATATGTCTATTTGTCAGATATTGACACTATTGGCACTTATATGTCTACTGTAAATTCAGAAATTATTGCGATGTTTTTATTATTGCGAAAAATGCGTCAGGGTTATAATCGCAATAATTTAAACTCGCGTTTTGAATTTTTTTATATGAATTAAACATCTTATTCTCAATATCGCAAAAATTAAAATCGCATTTTAGTCTAAAATGAAAAAATCGCAATAATAAATGCACGCAATAATTTCTGAATTTACAGTATTTGCCAGATATTATCACAAAAATTTACAGGAGATCCACAGAGAATAATCAACTGTCTAGAACTCACTGTGAATATGCTCATTGATGTGGTCATTCTCTGTAAAGTTACATGTCCTTAAAAATGTTTAAAAAACTGGTAATTCCAAACACAAATGTTAGTCTACCCCTAGGCATAGATGAAGGTGTAGCCAGATTTGGAACAATTTTTTTATTACTTGGATATTTGGTTTTCCACTTTGAAATATGTTAGGCTTCCAACTGTTTTTAAATTGAGCGCTCCTGATGAGTCTTGTGTTTGAGCGCTCCTGATGAGTCTTGTGTAGACAAAATGGGCGTCTTGCTTACCAAATTAAAAGTCTGGTGATTTTTGTTTTCAATCTTGACAATGCTGATAGTATTACAGTAAAGACTTTTGTAGATATGAAAAAATATAAGATTTGTAATTAATTAAGATATAAACAAAACATGTGACTTTACTAAATATGTCACATCAAATGTTTTAACATTTGTGAATCCTGTATTAATACACACTCATATTTTTATTTGACATTTCTGTACTAAATATTCTGTGAACAGGAGTTACAGTTTGTTCTGTTTGTATATGTACCTTTGACTTTTACCATTGAAGACATAGATATTTATCCAATTTAGTAGCAATTGATCTTCTTAAAACCACTTGTTGATTTTCTTTGGATGTATAGTAACTTTTTGCAATAGGTCAAGAGGAAACAAATCTGAATGCCAAAAAAACTACATTAATACTTCTAGTATACATTATTGTTTAGGGGCCAGCTGAAGCCCGCCTCCTGTTGCAGGATTTTCTCGCTGTGTTGAAAACCCATTGGTGGCCTTGGGCTGTTATCTGCTCTTTGGTCGGGTTGTTGTCTCTGACGCATTCCCCGTTTCCATTCTCAATTTTATTAATTTCTTTTTTATATAGAATGTTTTTTACAGAAAGCTGGGTAGGGGGATGAAGTTTATCTTGAATTCGACTTTTCCTCAAACTTCAAAATTCAGTTAAACTGCGGCAAACAGTTCTATTGTCTTTCAGAATATTTAATGACACATCTGAAATTACTGCATTATGAACATGTTATACTTATTATATCTGGATATCTCATATAAATATTTCAGGTGAAATTTTTTCTTTAATACGATATTTATTCAGTCTTTTCTTTCTTACAGCTTTAAGAAGTAGAGGAGGAGGACCTCGTTTCTCTGCTCCAGTTGAGGATCTTACTTATTCTTTAGCTAAACCTCTTGAAGACAACGATCATCTATCCAAATCACAAAAGGAAAGTTTCCGCCATACTTATACTGAAGGAAGTAAACAAGTTTGTACTTCATTAAGTGGGACAAGTGTAGATTCGGGAGTTGAGGACCCAGATGAATATGATCATACTGTGACGTGGGTCACAAACAGTGGTAAAAACAGAATGGCGCAGGTAATACCTAATCCTACTTCTATTCAGACAGAAAAACATATTATACATGAACACAGTGAAAATGAAGATCCCAGTTTGCAAACAAATCCTGATGTTCATAAAAAAGAGACTACAGTGTATGCTGCACCTTATGAGGATGCATGGGACACAACTGATAGCCAGTTGAAATTCGACAAGATTATGGACAAGGCTAAAAAAGAATATCGTAAAAAGTCTCATTCAGATGATTATGAAGAACCTGTATCAACTTCAACTTCAAATTCAACTTCAGCAACTTATGAAGAAGCTTGGGATTTAAAACCTAGGGAACAAAAATTAGAAAGTACAGTACAGGAAGCTCACAGGAGAATGAGTGAGGGACAGCAAAACTTAGTAAAGCGAAGAGATACTTATGAGTACAAGGAACCATGGGCAGTACTGAAAGGTCAACCTGAACCCAGTTCAAAGGTCAAAAATGGAAATCCAGAGAACCCAGTGTATTCAGAAGCCTATGAGGATCCGTGGGATATTAAACAGCGTGAAAAAGTAAAAGCTTTAGAAAAACGATTTAATAGTGCTGCAATTTCACCAAAATCACCAAAATTACCAAATAGTCACGATCATATGGATGTGCCAAGTTTTCCTGCACCCCCACCGCCAAATATACAAACATATGAAGAAACATGGGATAAAAATCAATTTGTTAATCGGACATCTCATCATTCAGGTAAATGATAAATATTGTATTCTCATATTTCATAGAATTGGTTATGATTTAAGATTTTAACTTTAGCTTTCATATCATAACAATTTATAGCTTGATTTTTTTTATGATGTCTATATATAATAACAAGTTCAGTGTATTTTGCATGACAATGTGTGTATTGTCATTCTAATTTTTGGGGGACATTATAAAGCCATTTCAAAGCACCATGTTTTTTAAAATTTGACAGGAACCATACTTTTCATAATTCATAGGAACAAACTCCTTAGAGCCTCTAGTTTGTTCTTTAAGTACATTTTTATGACAAATCATTGCCAGATTTAAATTTATTCACTACTTCAGATTAAAATTAATGATCCTTATATGGTATAGACACATGCCTATCTTTTAAATCTATATATGAATGTTGACCTAGATGTTTTGGGGTTGTTTTTCTTACCTTGGTTGCTGTTTCATTGATGTATACCCCACATAGTCTTTTGCCAGATCTGAAAAATCTATATATATTAACAATTTTGAACCAAACTGAATCATCCTGAAGCAGAACTAAATATTTTAAAAATATTGTTGATCTTAAATTCAGCCATCTTAAAAGTTGTGCAATGAAGAAAAAAATACTGCAAGGAATACTACAAATGATCTTTTGATAGATGTTTACTTTAATATTAAAGTCTTGCAAAAAAGATGCTTAATATTAGATTTGTATAACAAGGTCAAAAATAAAATTGAAATTGTTTGATGTTGCCTACCTACCCACCTAAAAAGCAGCCAACCTGAAAAAAATTTATGACACATATCATTTCAATTTTGTATGCCCCCACCGCAGCATACTTCTGTACGTCCTGAAATTGGTTTCTGTTCTCTAACGTTAGTTTGCCTCAACCAAATGTTATGAAACTTATACACAATGCTAATTACCACAAAACACATCTCAAGTTTGAATTTGGGTGGTGTCACTCGTACTGTTCTAGAGTTGTGCTCTTTTACAAATTGGAAAATTGCTGAATTTTTCGTTTCCGTTTTCTAACTTAAGTTTGTCTCAACCAAATGTTATGAAACTTATACACAATGCTTATTACATGTATGTATTACCACAAAACACAGATCAAGTTCGGAATTTGAGTTTTGTCCCTTTATAAAGTTATATGCAAGCAGGGGCATCATCTGTGTATATGAATATATATTTTCCTGCTCTAATGACGTTTTCTTGTCTTAAACATGTTACTTATGTTGTTGGCCATAAAAAAATAAAACCCATACTTACCTACCGAACCCTATGAGGCATGGGTAGGCAACATCAAACGAATATTATTTTAAGAGTGGGCCAAGTAAAAATTTATATCAATTTCAAAACCTTGATGTTTTTTGTTTGTTTGTTAAATTGAAGCGTATGTCAGGGCTCTAATCATATGGAATATTTTGGGGTGAAATTGTCACTAATATCCAAAATGCAGATTCCTTCTTCCTGAATATTGTTTGAATGCCATTGAATTTGTTTTATTCTTATACTTTTGTGAAAATTATTTTATTTGAACAAGCTTTCACAAACGATCAAAAGCTTTAAAATAAAAGTCTCTTTCTTCCTGGATGCATTGATGCGAAAAGAAATTGCTTTAGTTTTACTGCATAAATCATGAAAATTAATCTCAATTTATCGTTTATCAATTTTTACCTGGGAAATAAAATATTTTCTGTTTGAAATGTTTCATGGAACTAAGATACCCTCAATACCTGGTGTTAAGGACCACACGGTTACTGGTAAGCATAGGATTATTTAATTACATGTATATAGATCTAATTATATTTAAAAAAGAAAGGGTAAGCATATATATTTAAATATTGGATAAGACAGATTTATAATCATTTTCAATGCCTTTTATGAGGTGCTCTACTCATTCATAGACATAATCAGATATTGCCATTGTAAAGATGTTATTTCAGTCTTATATTGCCGAAATGTATTTAAAGATGAGGTAACAGTATAGAATACTATTAATGCATTGGATGAATGCAGAGGTAATTAAATGTCAGTTGAATTTCCTGATTAAGAAATATGTCTGCTCTTTAGTTCAATGTAACATGGGTTAGGTTTGTCTTTACACTAAGCATTAGCAAGGGATAAAATATGAACCAAAAGTATCCCTATCCTTGTTAAAAGTAGCATATATACAGCATGACATTAAAGATTTATACAAATTCTTAAAGGAAAATTGAGAACTTTTTTCCTTTGAAGTGGACCTATAACAAACATTTGAAATGCAGCCATTTTGATTTATCACGAATAAAAAACGTTTCAAAAAATAATTTAATTTTAGTGTTTTAAAGATTTTGTTGATTCATTTTGATGTCCAGTATCTTTCAAAACATTATTGTGAAGCACATGTAACAAATTTGTTGATTGAATTCTAAGTTTGTTCACAAATAGAAAGAAGCCTAGGGTATCTTAATAGATTAACTTATAAATTATGTCTAGCATAATTATGAACATATCTTAAACAAAATTTTTTTTTTTTAAGTTTTATAATTTAAAATTATGTTTTTAGGAAATTGCATTTATTGACATGTTCATGATCATTTTGTTCACTGAGGGAAAATATTTTCAGGAAATGCATTGTTGTTTAAATATTTGTTTGGAGATTATTGGAGGGTGAAATATAATATTTGATATAATCAATAATAATGAAGCTGTAGGAATTTTTCATGTTTTATGATATAGAAATTAAATTCTATCTGCTGTTTTTGCTGAAAGTATCTTAATTGTACAAAAAAAATTGAATGAAAATAAGGTCATCTCATATAATCTCTCCCCTTAGTGAAGCTGCAAAGAGGAAGATCTCCCACTTTGTAGCTCCTAAAGGTTTGAAGGTTACATACTGGTTAGCTGTGATTTATACACATTTAAAAAAAAATAATCATAAAGAAGTCTATTACACATGTTACATGTGATTAAAGTGGAAGTTTTTATAAACACTAACATTCTAACATGCAAGATTCAAATCCAGATATTTACAATTAAGGCACCCTGAATGTATTCACACAATTAGCCACATCATGATAACTTATCTGCACCCACAAAAAAATTGCTGTAAGATAATTAGAATTTTTATGCCCCTGCTGTGGTGGAGGGGGCATTAAGGTTTACCCTTATCCGTCTGTACGTCTGTCCCAAAATTGGTCACCGTTCTCCGGTCTCCCTTCACCAAATGTAATGAAACTTATGCACAAAGCTTAATACCACAAAACACAGATCAAATTGAATTTGGGTGGCATCACTTTTACCTTTCATGAGTTATGCCCCTTTACAAATGGAAAAATTGCTGAATTTTTCGTTTCCGTTACCTAACTTTAGTTTGCCTCAACCAAATATTATGAGACTTACGTTAGACACAATGCTTATTACCATAAAACACATCAAATTCGAATTTGGGTGGCATCACTTTTAGTTCTCTAGTTATTTCCCTTTATAACATTGTATGCAAGCATGCGCATCATCTGTGGCCAATGGACACATTCTCCATTTATTTTTGTTACATCAAACCATGAGTTACACTAAGGATGTTCTACCCCAAGAATAGATTACCGTAGCTGTATCTGGCAAAACCTCCTGTATTTTTGGCCCTCAATGCTCTTCAACTTTGTACTTTTTTGGCCTTTTTTTTTATGCCCCTGCGGCAGCAGAGGGGACATTAAGTGTTACCCATGTCCGTCTACGTCCTTCTGTAAGTAGTCCCAAAATAAGTTTCTGTTCTAACTTTAGTTTGCCTCAACCAAATGTTATGAAACTAATACACAATCCTTATTACCACACAATACAGATAAATTTAAATTTGGGTCGTGTCATTTTTACCGTTCTAGTGTTAATGCCCCATTACAAATGGAAGAATTGCTGAATTTTTCGTTTCCATTCTCGAAATTAACTTAAATAAGTTTGCCTCAACCAAATGTTATGAACCTCATATACAATGCTTATTATCACAAAACCCAGATCAAGTTGAATTTGGGTGGTGTCACTTTTACTGTTCTTGAGTTATGTCCCTTTGTAAATTGAAAAATTGCAGAATTTGCCATATATTTACAAGCGGTAGGCATATGTGTCCCATGGACACATCCTTCATAAATTTTCTATTAACTTTATAGTACATGTATTTCCCAGTACATGTAGTAAAAAAAAATTGTGTCGTTATCCTAAAGAAATTTACTAGATGAATATAATGTATTCAAATTCCAGACAAATTTGGAAATAGTGATGTTTGCTTTGCATGGATCTTTTCTCATGATTACATGGAAAATTATTAAATGGAATAAGGAAATTAAAAACATTTGTAGAATTGAAGAATTTTTCAAAAATCTTTTGATTATTTTTTTCAGGTAATTCACCAAACCAAAGAAGACAGTCAGAAGGAATGAGAACAAGTCGGACAGAGATTGCAGAACGAATTAACCCTGATATTCCATTAGATATACAAAAGTAATTGAATGACTCATTTTTATGCTACATTAACCCACAATAGTAGACAGGCATTATGTTTTCTTTTCATTGCATGTGTCCGGTAGATTTTTGTTTGTCCACCAGTATTAGGTTCAAGTTTTGGTAAAAGGTAGTTTGTGGTCACATCAACTTGAAACTTAGTATACATGTTCCTTATGTAGTAAAATTTTGAAACTATATGCCAAATAAAGGTTTGACCCAGATTTCATGTTTCACATGGAAATGTGATAATGCAATGCAGGGCATGGTGGTCTATGAACATTTATTATTCTTGTCATTAAGTTTGCAGTCTTTAGGGTTTGCATACACGAGGAAAGGCTCACTGGACATGCCATCTGAATCAGTCAGACCTGTCAAATTTTCAAATTTAGGGAAAGTTCCCCCTTTGAGAGGTGTTGACCTAACTCTGGAAATCCTTATATATAAGCTGAATACCACAAATGAGGCATTCATAGGAATTAAAATGACATTAAAGTACATATTTAGTTATTTTAAACCATAGGGTCACCCTTAAAAAAATATTTATTTCATGTTGCCTACCCATGCCTCATAGGGTTTGGTAGATAGGTAGGGATTTTTTTTTTTTTTTGCCAACAATCTAAAGAAAATGAAAGGATATGGAGTAAATTTACATGGGACAAAATCGCACACAATACATAGCAAATTATCAATGAACAGGGCTTTTATTCCTGTTCTTCATTTTGAAAGTTGATGTAGGGTCTTCAACAATGAAAGAATCATTCATACCCTACATTACACGTTTTAGATAAGAAAACGACGTTAGAGCAGGAAAAAATATTTAAAAAAAAATTTGAAATGATTTGTGTCATAAAACTTATCAGGTAGGCTGCTTTTTAGGTGGGTAGCTATAGGTAGGCAACATCAAACAATTTAAATTTTATTTTTGGCCCAGAATATTAAATTAAAGCCAGGTATGAGAGATGTATTAGGTCCTTTTGTGCCTAAAATTCCCCATGAAAAATTTGAGAAGTTGGCAGGTATGTGACCAGTAGGTGTATTTGGTGTATGGGATGATTGTACATGTAATGTAATCTGGCAGGGTTCATCTGACCTTATTTTCATGGATCATTGATAATGTTCAAGTGTTTGTGATACCTGCAATAAAACCTTGATCTTAAAATTTTTTACATAGAAATCAGTCATAATTTGTATATTCATAATTATTTGTAATAAAATTATGATAAGCAACTTACAGTCAATTGAAACAGCTTTTTAATTATGCATTTAATGAAAGTTAAATGAAATTTTAAGAAATTGTTTTCACAAATTGAAATTGTCTTTCACAAAAATGCTGAAGTGACCATTTCAATCATTGAAAAGGTATTTGGCAATCTTGTCAACAAATGGTGTTCCTGTGACTCTCCTCTTTGGTGGTAGGTATGATGGAAAAAGATTAAATGCCATTCAAAGTTCAGAAAGTTCAAGACCTGATTCACCGTTTGAATTGGTGGTTTATTTTTTATTGTCTTGCCTTGACGGAGTTAAAAGGCGAGACATAGGTATGCTGTTTCCGGCTTCGGCTTCAACAATGTTTTAGTTTGTGATTAGGTCAGTTTATGGGGAACCACTAGTGGTAGGTCAATGATATTTGGTATGCAGTGATATTAGTCATTTCCATGGAGATTAGTTGGCCCCACCCACTTTGTCATGGTCTAGTGACTTTGAAACTTTTGCATAGTTTGCATGTATTAGTATGTGATTAGTTCAGTTTAAGGAGAACCACTAGTGGTAGGTCAATGATATTTGGTGTGCAGTTGTATAAGCATTGGCACACCTTATTTCCATGGAGATTATTTGGCCCCACTCCCTCAGTTATGGTCTATTGACTTTGAAACTTTTGGTTCGTTTGCATGTATTAGTTTGTGATTATGTCAGTTTAAGGAGAACCACTAGTGGTTGGTCAATGATAATTGGTTTGCAGTTGTATAAGCATTGGCACACCTCATTTCCATGGAGATTATTTGGCCCACCCCCTCAGTCATGGTATATTGACTTTGAAACTTTTGCTTAGTTTGCATGTATTAGTTTGTGATAAGTTCAGTTTAAGGGGAACCACTAGTGGTAGGTCAATGATATTTGGTTTGCAGTTGCATTAGAATTGGCACATCTCATTTCTATGGAGATTATTTTTGGCCACACCAACTCAGTCATGGTCTATTGACTTTGAAACTTTTGCTTAGTTTACATGTATTTGTTTGTGATTAGGTCAGTTTATGGGGAACATCTAGTGGTAGGTCAATGATTTTTGGTATGCAGTTGTATTAACATTAGCATATCTCATTTCCATGGAGATTGTTTGGCCCTGTTCCTTCAGTCATGGTTCATTGACTTTGAATATTTTCCACAACTTACATGTATTGCTATTTTAATATCAGTATTTGCATTTTTGTTTCTTTTGAAGGTTTTATCATGGTAAAATTGGAAGAAAACAAGCCGAATCGTTGCTTCTTATCCATCGAGAAGGGAGTTACTTGGTACGAAGAAGTGAAACACAAGACAATGTCTTCTCCTTGTCATTAAAGTAAGTTACTGCTCTCTTGTAAATACACCTTGTATCATGTGAATTTGTTCCCTTGTACTATGGTGGTCTCACATAGGCTATATATATAAACGAATATATCAGGAATTTTAGTATCTCTACCCGCTATTTAGAAAAGAATTTGCTGGAAAAGTTTAGGAGTGGCAGTTAATCCATTCATTTGTGGCTGATCAATATGGTTTGAGTCATGCATATATGTTTTCGTTTATATAAATTTCTTTTCAAATTCAATTTACGTGAATTTGAAACTACCTTTCAAATCTTAAAGATAATTTGACTCTACAATTTGAAAAATTAAAAAAAAAAAAATTTCCTTTAGAAGATCATTGGCAATGTTTTACTTCCTGGTATAAAGATAAAAATATATATGGTGTTTTTACCTACATATATATACTATTATGAAAAACAACTATTGTCTTTGATTGTTTTATGTTTCTATATTTTATGTTAAGAATAGAATTGACTTTATCAAGTATGGTTTGTTTAAAGTTAAATAACTATCCATCACTCACAGCAAGTTGGATAACCGTCCAAATCTTTTCATTGTTTAAAAATATATCTACTGAAGCAATACCTGCATACTGAATTAGAATGCAGGCAACTTTCTTTTATGAATTCAAATTCAAGCTATCTACAAAAGTCGGATGGTCAATTAAAAGAATAATGTAAACAGGCTAAATTTTAGCAGCACTTTTATATTCACTTTTGCACTGTAAGACGTCATACAGGAAAAACGTAACTACTACAAATTTTTCATGGAAACTCAGTTCATAGGATAGAACCTCACATGAATAAATACCATCTAGAAATCGAAAATTCAAAGCAACATGAATTTAAATTCAATCAAGTAATCCTGACTAAAAGACTGCCTAAAAAATTTCCCAGTTTACGGTACTAAAACTTAATCAATATCTGCAGTTACCCATTATTACCACTGTATAAGCAGCAACAAGAAGAAAGTTGCAAAATTGATAAATTATAGATACAACCACTGCGTCGTGTAGAAACTAATGGCATCTTGGTATTGCTTAAAAGGTTATGTTAGACAGTAAATAGTATGCTCTTTGATTGCTGATAATGGTATACTGACTTTATAAAGATAAGGAGATGTGGTATGATTGCCAATGAAACAACTATCCACCAGAGTTCAAATGAAGTGGAAGTAAGCAAGGCCACTGTACAGCCTTCAACAATGAGAAAAATCCATACCATAAAGTTGGCTATAAAAGGCCCAGATATCAAAAACCTGTAACAATTCAAACAAGAAAAAACTTACAGCCTAATTTGTAACAAAACAATATACGAAAAACAAATATGACAGACATGAACCAAAAAATTTCACTGAACTACAGGGACAGGCACATGAATAATTGTTGTCAGTCTTTGTCGCTGTAATCATCATCAACACAACTCAAAGGTATGATTTATACACTTAAACTATAAGATTTCACAGAGAATACTCCAACAATAGTAAAGTCACACTTGCACGCTCACTCACTTGTATCATAAATATGAAGGTATATATTGCTCTAAACATCAATTACACAATAATAATTACTGTAAATTGCAAGAAAGGCTGCATACAGATACACGTATCAATATCTTAATGCAAGTTCTTATTATTGCGATACTCACCCAGTCATTTACATCAACAAAAACCTCGTAATAATTTCTGAACTTAGTTAACTGAGAATTTATTCACAGTGTGTAGCAGATGTGATCAGATCTAAACGTGTTGTAAATTATTACCATGAAGTTTATATTATTATGAGTATATATCTGTCCAAAGGTTTTACAACAATTCAACAGATACTAAGGTGTAAAATATTGAAGGATAGGGTTTGATGTCTGTCATTAACTCACAGACAACACTATATACATATCTTTTATTTAGTCCCCTACCGACGAAGTCGAAGGGGACTTTAGGTTTGCACTCCATCCGTCTGTCCGTCTGTCCATCCGTCAGTCCGGCAAATCAGCTTTCCACACTTTTTTTCTTTGTTCTTGAAGATATTGATTTGATATTTGGTATATAGTTTTATCATGACAAGTTATAGATCAAGTTCTAATTTTGTTCCGGTCTGATGATTTAGTCTAGAGTTATGGACCATAACTCTACACCATATCTAATGTTAGAGTACTAAACCATATTTCTGTTCAAAGGGAGATCATTCTTTGGTAAATTATTTGAAGAATTTTTTGGCAGGTTTGTTTGTTATTTAGTATAAACTAATTTTCTGAATGCTATATATATATAAAAAAAAATTATGAAGAGAAATCCTTTGATTAGATAATAATCTATTTTTATTGATGTATATATTTCAATACATTACATTGTGTAGATAAAAGTTGTTGACATTTTATAGATAAGTTACAAATCTATATTAGTTTGTGACAAATGAAAGAAAAAATATTTGGAACTATTAATTATATTTGATTATAATTTGAAAATAGATATACACTGTATTACATCATATCTAATTTTAGAGAACTATTAATCATATCTAATGTTTTTTTTTCATCATGCTTTTAAGATATTGATTGATAATTGGTATATAGTTTTATCATGACAAGTTACAGATCAAGTTCAAATTTTTGTTTCGGTCTTATAATTTTGTGCAGAGTTATGGTCCTTGAACTTGAAAAATTCACTCATATAATCAGTTTTCCACACTGTTTTTAGTCATGCTTAAAGATATTGACATGATATTTACTTTTTGTTTACACCATGACAAGTTATAGAACAAGTTAGCATTTTGTTCCAGTATAATGAATTTTTACCCGGTAGGGGACCATGTATTGCCATGCAATACTCTCAGAATGCTTGTTACTTTTATTTTATTCTCTGTTTGTTTTTATAGGGGAGTTGGAGGAATGCCGATGCATTTAAGAATAAGTTTGGCAAACGGAATGTATATCCTTGGTGAAAACAGTAAACCATTTCCTACAGTGCCAGAAATGATTGATCATTATACACAGTCTGAATTGCCAGTTCTTAAGGCCGATCGTATAAAACTTTTGCATCCTGTTCCAAGGCATAGTTGAGAGGTTGGAAATCATAGAAAACATATACAGACTGTGATTTGAATTGTTCACTATTTATTTTTGTTTTATAATCATTTAACATTGCTCATTCACAGAGTCTGAATGTGATAGAAAATGAAAATTATTTCAATATTTTTGCATTTTTTACGTGGTTATGTTTAAATATAAGTAAGATCATGTTATCATTCATTTTAATGTAAATGTTACATTTAATATATTTTGAAAAATAATTACAATGTTATGCATGGTAACAGTCTATAAAAACATGTATTTCAGCTTCAGCAGTGTACTCATTTCTAGAATAACAATAGGCATACAACATAAGTATTATGACAAACTCAAGGTCATTAAAGTTTATGTGTAGATGAATATTTGTAAATAAATAACTAGGTCAACAAAGACTTCTTTCTGGTTGTTATGTGGTGCTTCTTTTGACGTAAATTTTGTAGTTAAAATTAACCAAAGAAACAGTATTGTTGTTGAGATTTTTTACTTGTTATGCCTTGCATACATATTAAAGATAACAAGCCAAGGACAAAATCTAGAAAGTTAAATTGCCCTTTGACCTTAACCTCAATTTCAAGGTCATAGTCGATGTATTCATAATTAAAAGACATAAAAGCTGTTTCTGTTACACTTTATACATTTTTATTATGATGATTTAAATCTACATTTAAAAAGGGTCAAATTGAGCGGAAAAAAAATAATCAAGATACTAAAGTTTATGAAATTGTCACACAAGCCCAAACCAAAGATTCCTCTGAAAGCCTATTCTGGGGCTTGCTTGTGGCTGTAAGACCTTGACCCAGCAAATCCTCAAAAGGCCATGGCAGATGTGAGAGCAATCGAATCCCTCTCTCTAAAAAAGTTATAGATATATATTTTGATAACTATTAATTTTGAAGATATTCAAAGGCTATTTTTATGAAAACATGCTGTCATTAACAGAACCCATTTTTAAGTGTTTTGAATAATAATTATTCAAGGTTTTTGTTTAATGTTGATGATGATGATGAATTGTTGATTGTTTCACTTTGTTATTGAATATTTACTTTTCACCAAAACTCACATTATAAACAGCTAGGACCGACAGTTTTCAATTATTGTACGGTATTTAGCATGAAATATGTTTTTGTCCCTAAGATTTACAGTAATTCAGAATCAGACATTTTTTGGGACCATGCATATTTCATTTTGATCATTGGTTTGACCTTTTAAAAAAATGTGTACAGCAGAAATTATGATATTTTGTTATTGTTAATTTTAAGAGAAAAAGTTCCATGTGATATATGTTTAATGGCTTATGTGATATAAGTGCCTTATTTGTTATAACATATGTGGTATATGTGTTTTGTAATATGTGATCTTTGTTATATGTCAACCATAGTTGATGGAATATGGAATATTCAAACACGTTCTTAAAAATTCATATTATAGTTCTTCAAGTACATCATTTTTTCTGTTGTTTTCATTGTATTGTTAATTCAGTTGCATTCTCAACCTTTTTTCTTTCTCTCTTGTTTTTTCCATTTTGCTTGTCAAAACAATTTTGTTTTGCCTATCTTCTTAACAACTGCATGTTCTTCTAACACTGGTGTAGATATTATATAAAACTAACTGCTATTGGTGCTTCATTATATTTCTAGATGAATGCTATTATTTATATGACTGAAATTATAGAGAAAATTTCTATTTTTTTTTTTTTTTTTTTTAATATCTATTTTGCAAGCTTTTTACAAAATCTTGCTTGGTTCTTTAGTATAATATGAATGACAATGATTTGAATTCAAGTCTCATTAATGTTTTCGTCATCCAATTTTTGATGTTTTGTGAGTCACACTAAATTAATTAATCTAGTTATATTTTACGGCTATTTTATAAAATATATTCATCTATAGTGCATTTTCTTGGGTACAGTATTTCATGGTTTTGTAAGTGCTGCAAGAATAAGCATTTTCTTGGGTACAGTATTTCATGGTTTTGTAAGTACTGCAAGAATAAGCATTTTCTTGGGTACAGTATTTCATGGTTTTGTAAGTGCTGCAAGAATAAGTAAACCATCAGAATTCATATCTTGACAGTGTATTAAAGATAAACTGTCAGCATTCAACAATAAGTATATATGGATATAAGTAGATCTGGCTTGAAGGATTTTCTTATTTGCTTTAAAGATGGTTTCAGATCACCCTGTTGCCTTGTTGACAGTTTACTAATGTAGATTCATTTATTTTTGTGGGGTACCAGTTTTTATGGATTGTTGAAAAATAGATTTTCGTGGATAGTTGAATTGGTGGTTTTGCAAAAGTCTGCATACAAGGCGAGTAAAATTTTGTAATTCCATTTTGAACATTTAATTTCATGGTTCACCTTTGTACCCACAATATCCACAAAAATTGGTATCACGCAAATAATAATGAATTCATAATATTCCATTGGCTGAGATATTCCTGTCTCATTCAACCAAAATATTAAATGCAGGCAAGAATAGATTTTCAATCAATTTTGGATTTAAACAAGCCTTGTTGAAAACGTGAATCTCTACTTCAGGTGTATGGGATTTCCCAATCTTGTACTCCTTCAAGGGTATGATTCTTAAAATCCATATATAGACATGTACAATATTGAATGTAAGTTACAACTCTTTTAATAAGTGCCAGGATATAAGATTTAGTACTGTGTATGTAAGAGTGAAAATTATAGTCAAAAATAAATCTGAGATATTATTAATAGGATACTATTCAATCATTTATATTCTGTGTATCAATAATACAATCAGTAGGGCCTAGTTGTAACTTTAACTGCATATGTCCTTTTAAAAACTCACCAAAGATACCAGGCTTATAATTTTGTACCTTGAGTTTGACCTCTTAAGGTGGTACCCAACACCTTGACTAATATTAATTTGGCTCGTTTAATTTTCATAAAATTTTGACAAAATGTTTACTTTGACCCTTTGACAAAAATATAAAAATTTCAAAAAATTTGAACCAACCACTTTATCAGAAAAATTTCTTTGGTTATATAGCAATTTGACAAACACTAATTTTGATCATTGAGAAGCTTAATATTTCCTTAACAATACAACGTAATTAAAACGTTTAGCTGATTTTTACAGAGTTATCTCCCTGTAGTGTTAGGTACCACCTTAAGACTCTTCAAATGTGATATTGTTAAAAGCAACCACCAATGATTACTGTATATTCAATAATACTAAAATGATTATTTTCAATGGATTTGCTGGATAAAGGGTAGCCGCAAATTTAGGTACATTTGTTTTCTTTTGAATTGTTGCATATTTTTCATGTCAGGGCCTTTTATAGCCAACTATACAGTATAGGTTTTTTATCATTGTTGAAGTCCGTACAATTGCCTGTAATTGCTTACATTAACTTCATTTGAACTTTGGTGGATAGTTGTCCCATTGGCAATCATACCACTTCACCTTATTTTTATATATTTTAATGAAGTTACAAGGTCACTGCATTTGTATCGTATACTATTTATATTTCATTTGACTTTCTAGGAAGGCATGTAAACAAAGCTTTACATATTTTCATATTTCATACAATTACATGCTCTGCACACAATCCTCATTGAAACATTTATTATTCGTTCTTTATTAAAAGAGGAGTAAAACTTATAGAAAGTATTATATCAGAAATGAATGATAAATCTGGTTATTATATAAATGATAAAAGTCCTAATTAGACTTGTTTTGATTAAAAAATAAAAAGAAATGTTATGTTTTTTTTGCTCAATCTGCCTTTATTTCCAGATACACCCTTCCAGAACACCTTACTCTATCTGCCTTTATTTCCCGGTACACCCTCCAAGAGGAAATTACTCTTCTTTGACTTCATTTCCAGTTGCACCATTCTCGAACACCTTACTCAGACTGTTTTCTTTTCAGTTTTTATGGAAGAGCATGTTTATCACTCCCAATTTTTGCTGTGAAATTGTATTGGCCAGAACATTACAATAATTTTAAGTGCTCTAATTTGGCCAGGTTGTGCATAGTGTTAGTCTTGCTTATAACACAGTGAATTCTGTGCGTAGAAATTTAAAAGAAAAACTACCTTATTTTTTATAACCAACTCCTGTCATTTTTTTTTGGAACCAGAGTATTCAAATTTTCTAAAATGTTTTTTATCCACGTCTCAGAATGTGTTCGTATTAGGATATTATTTGTAGTTTTTCCAGATGACAAAACTTTCATTGATGTAGGCATAGATTTGTATACAAATCGTTGGTGTAGGGTACCCATTTCTTGTAATCTTCTCTTATATCCTCCTACAGTTTTCAACCCAGAACCTTCATGTTTTCTGTGTGTTTGTACATTAAAAATATACACTTAACGCTGTACACCTTTAGCCAATTCTTGCAGATTTTCCAAATGGTGAAGCTTCCATTCCTATTCCTATAGTCGTAAACAATGACTTGAAATTGTTATTTGCTGCTTCTCTACAAAGCACAAAACATTCAGAAGTAAGACCAAACACTTGTCTGCTCAGGTTAAAATTAATGTGTTTGAGTTAGGTGATATGTCTTTCTGTTGAGCTAGCACATTTAAAAAAAGACAGTCTCAGCTTATCCGGCTAGTATAAAGCCGATTATATTTCTGTCCATAAACGTGATTGTGAAACTGTATAATACATATATAAGATAAACAAACCCACCAACCAACAACGACCCACTCCTCAATAAGACCTACAAACAATAACGAAAAACACATGGTCCAGACAGCCTGACTTGTTACAGTGTAATGTAGACTGTCGATTCTATAAATTCAGGAAATGAAAACCAAAAATCTAGAACTTCTCTCCACAGTTTTGTAAAATACCGTGCAGGATTGACAAAGTTATTCAAGTTTTGAAATCAGTTACCACAAACTGTACTTATATGTTGCCTGCCAAAAAAAACAGGACCACTTATTAGTGAAAATGAAAGAAAACTTAACTCTAGATTGTATCTCTAATATTAGGAAGCTACTGTAAAATTTCCTGTAATTTCATAAAGATTTGAAAAAGTTTAACGATGTTTTAAAATCTTTGATCCTAGATTATCTAAATGTAAGCTAAAAAAAATTAATAATAAAATACAAAACAGTAACAAAATCAAAATTTTTCTTCGAATGCTATTTCTTGAGTGTTGAGCGAAATCTGTCCAAGTTTCATACAATTCCTTGAAGGTATGAAAAAGATGTTTTAGGCAACAGTAGTTAAATGATGTTCAAATATTACAAATTGAACATGAAGACACAGATCAAGGTAACATACTGAGGGAATGTTAAACACTTATACCATTGTCTGTATCTAATTGTTTACTGTCAATATATATATACTCCGTTAAATACGAAAAATGAACAAATTTATATTTGATATGAATTTAACATCGGATGCTACTTCATGATCATGCAGAAGTTTTTTGTGTTTCGTGAAATGCACGAAGGATTGATAAAGTCTAAAAAAAACTTTAACCCCAGACTGTATCTTAATGGTAACTGCAAAACAAAAAAAAATGTTCATCCATTTTCCAGTAAAATATGGGAAAATGAAAATAAGATATAATTTTTTAACTTTTTTGTACTGATGTTTATAGACATTCAACAACTGTTCCTCGTTTCATGTTGGTCAATTGGCCTACCGGTGTACATGAATATTTTCAACTATTGTTAAAATTCTCACTCATAGTAAATTACAAGGTCCATTAAAACTATGCAGATTTTCTTTTATTATATATTTCGTTGTATTGTTTTTGTCATCTTTAATATGTTAATATTTATATCATTTTGTAATTTTTGAATTGTGTATGAACTTTTTAACCCTTCTGAAGCGCACAACATTTCATCCCATGTTTTAATAAAATACACGTTACTGTTTCTAGTTTTCTATATAGTAACTTTTTAGAACTGTTTGTCTTTTTGTCCGTTTTCTTTTCCCCATGATGTTGTCTGTCCTTTTTTGACGTGTAAAGAGACGAGAGGGCAATCTGGGCAAAATCTGTATTTCTTTTTTTATTTATTTTTTTTCAAAATCGCCGTATTTGTTTCACTGACAATTTTGGTCTGCTAGGCCTTATTTTAGGGCCGTAACTTCGTTAGAAATTTAAAAAAAAATAAAATAATAAGTTGAAACAAAAGCTTGTCTTCATATCGAATTGTTTTCACGGCGAGTGTCTTGCAAGAAGCAAGTTCTGTTCACCCTCTGACGTCGTCCCCTGTTTTTTCAGGATCCATATTTCTCATTTATTTTTAGTTTTCAGTGTTGAATGCATTGTTTGTCGTTATGTGCCTTATCTGTTCCCGGGTTTGTCTTTTGTTCATTGATTGCCCTTTTTTATGACTATTGTCTTAATGTTGAATTTCATTTGTAAATTGGTAATTTTATCTTAAACTTGAGTTTTATTATATTTAAGGACCTTTTGTCTAATTTTGAAAACTACTTTAAAAAGCAAAGTCGAAGTGGTCGGTAATGACGGGTGAACGGTTGTGTGGTTTGACAATGTTACATGTCCAGATATTGTTCAAGAAATATTTTTTAGAAGATCCGAAGCTACCGGACATAGAAAAATTGGTCGTTTTTTTCAGGGAAAATTAAACTTTATATTAAAGAATACAAAACTGGCTCTCTTTTCTGTTAAACTAAAAAGCTGACATGGGTTAAATTAAAGTGAGACAACCAATCTCCCGGAATCAAATCATTTAAAACGAAAAATAATGTATTGCCATATGACCTTTTACATTGAACGGCGTAAACTTGCATTAAGCCGTGTTCAGGCCCTTAAATAGGAAAGGGATATGGAGTAAATGTGCATGGGACAAAATCGCACACAATACATAGAAAAAAATACAAATTATCAATGAACAGGGTTTTTATTCTTGTTCTTCATCTTGACAGTCGCTGGAGGATCTTCAGCAATGAACGAATCATTCATACCGTACAACAAGTTCAAGACGGCCCATAACGTCGACTTAAGCGGTACTTAAAGTAGCTGTGAATAAATTTCAAAGTCTAATCAGCCGGTATACATATTAAAACAGCGCAAAATGTAGCAATGAGGTCTTTAGAACAGTTTTCCTGAGTTTACCCTGAGTGTACCCTTTCTATCCCAGTTAGGAACTACATCAAGTTGTAATTGAAGTGTGTTATGAAAACTGAATTCACATAGTTATATCAATGATAATCAGCCCCCTCTTAACTTTATTTGACAAAAAAAACATAATTGACAGGTATAATAAGTTTTTCCTGCAAGCCGAAACTCAATAAAAAAAAATTAAAAATAAAAAAAAAAAAAGCGGCCCCAGACCTCTCGCCGAAAATTTGTTCGCCTCCCTCCGCTCGGCGAATATGTTTTGCCTCACTTTTAAAAGAGGCTAGATACGGCCCTGTATTTGAATCATCTGTTTTGGTTTGCTTACGGTATTTACGGTATAGATGTACATCTTTTTATTACAAATATCTATTAGAATGTAAACTTTCGCAAAAAACACACCACCTTCTTATATTGCTATTATTAGTAATATATAAAATCATCGTACATACCAGGATTAAAACTTTGTACGCCAGACGCGCGTTTCGTCTACAAAAGACTCATCAGTGACGCTCGAAACAAAAAGTTTAAAAAGGTATAATAAAGAACGAAGTTGAAGAATATTGAGGACCCGAAATTCCTAAGGTTTTGCCAATTACAGCTAAGGTAATCTATTCCTGTCTGACTTCAATGATTAGAGATGAAACATTTCATTAGTCTTGAGACCTGTCATAACTATTATGCGAACTACTATATTCAAACACTTTGATTGGTATTACAAGATTAATAACAACAACATTCTCACACTTTATATTTTCCAATTCGTATAACGCTAAAAGCTCTTCATCAAAACAGCTCTGTGGACACAGGTCCAGATACAGTATTTGTCTTGTTTGGTTAATGTAAATTTTGTTAGATTTAGATCAGAGACATCTACCAATCCACAATTGTTTGTCACCAATTTCGAATTATCATTGGATTTTAAATGAGAAACACTTAAGGTTTTTATAGTGGAGCAGGAATTGTTTACTTTCCCAGAGAACATGAAAGCAACAATATTTGTGTATGTGGTTTTGTAATCCAATGTTTAAGTTGGAGCTTAACCATTTGCACATGGCAGTCCATTTAAGAATCAGTAGATTCATAACTCGAGACTGGAGGTCAATATGCATGTTTGCATTTCTGAACAGGTGAAGTGACTTGTAAGAAAATTCAATTATACCAATTTCAAATTTTTATTTTCATATACACTTGAAACAATTAGTTTTGTGACAAATACAAAATAAGTATACAATATAACTGAAATTCACATATATAAACACAATCATTTAATAACAGTAAATAGTCCAGAGTCTCCTGTCCTCAGTCCTAATGACTTTTTAATGTAGGACCCCAATTTATTTACTAGTGATGGTGTTGATGGATTCATCAGACAAATCTTTTAACAGAAAAGTGTATTTGCAAATTATCAAAAAGTTGTTTCTCAGTTCCCTATTTAATTCTCAATCTAATAAAAAATAATAATGGTTTCCATTTTCTAATATGTTACATTTAAGGCATAATCTCTGCTCTCTAGGAATATTAAAATGTCTTCCTTTTTCTATATTTAAACTATGGTCACTTATCTTAGTTTTGTTATTAATTTTCTATATGTAAAGTTTGGTGTTCTTAAATTGTCTTAAAAAATGAATTTGGTTTAAGGTTCTTATATAA